AAAGTTAGATGGGCAGATGATATTAAGTATGTGGGTATAAAATAGCAGCAGCAAGCACAGGACCGGGTTAACTGGCGAAACATGGGAGAGGCCTTTGTCCTGCAGTAGACGTAGTCAGGCAAATGATGAAAGCGGGTCAATTTTCAAGTCAACAAATATGGTAGAGGCAGCTTTAAAGGAGCAAAAAAAGGGTGAGGCATGTTTTTTTCATCTAATTATTGAATACGAAGCATTTTTTAGTGAATTTTGGCGACTTCAACTCTGTCTGTCTTGCTGCCTACTGCTATTAAGATAATGGTATCTATACCGAAATTGGTATGTCATAACATGACTGTATGATGAGCATAACTGACTCGTCATAACATGAAAATCATGACATGTATATCATGAATGTCATGATTGACATTTCGTGATTTTCCTGCTTTTGTGGTCATTTTGTTCACATGACATATTGTAAAACTAGTATGGCATGACATGACTGCATGTTGAACACTAGCGACAGATCCCAACATGAAAATTATGACATGCATTTCATGTAACAGTATGACTACATGCCACACTAATGATGCGCTCGCGGTCGTTTCTCTAGCCTCACACATACCAGTTTTGATGTTGCGTGACGTGAATAGATGATGAAAGTATATGTGACTGGTGCAAACATGATAATCATGAGATGCGTGGCATGAAAGAGCAAGAGTACTTACCACTCTCATGATGCGCTCGCAGCCATTTCGCCAGCTTCACATATATCAAATTTGGTAATACGTGATGTGAATGGATGACGAAGGTTAACGACAGGTCAAAACATGATGATAATGGTATGCGTGTCATGTAAAACATGGCTACATTATATGCTTATAGCACGCTTGTGGCCGTTTCATTAGCTTTAGATATACCAAATTTCATATTGCGTGATGTGAATAGACGACGAAGGTAAATGACATGTTCAAACATGATAATCATGACATGCGTGTCATGTAAAACATGACTACATGCTAAACTCATAGCGTACTCATGGCCGTTTCGTAGCTCCAGATATATCAAATTTGGTATCATGTGCCGTGAATAGACAATGCACATAAATGCCAGGCACATACAGGATAGTCATGATATTTAATCGATGTACGGCATAATTTACGTCTGTCTGGTAAGGTTGTGCTGATTTTAAAGTGACTTTTCAACCTTCCTCATTCGTGCTTCGCATATCATCGATTCCCACTGTACGTGGGATCTGCCATTATTATTTTTTTTTTCATTTTCGATTTGCTTTATCAGATAACTCTGGCACTTATCAATCGAAAATTTCACCCTTTAATTACCTAATGAAACATCCACCTTCATATAACTGCGTGTGTGCAAGGGTGGGGTGGGGGGTAAGGTTCGATGATAAAAACTTGAGAAAACGTTGGAAAAAAAATTTTGTGGATCTCAGACATAGCAGGAATAGAGTTCATGCGACGCTAGATTTTGTGCTTTGAGTGAAGCGTTGCGATATGCATATAATGCCTGTGCATTAATGGAGTAGTCACGAGAGACGTGGAATTCACTGGTGCCTAAAGGGTAGCGCGCAATCTTATTTCACAATGTCTACACACGCTAAAGCATATATATGTATACACATGTTTCATCAAGTGAACTGCATGCTGAGGTACTGGCAAGGCTTAAATGTGGAGTCGCTGTAGTGTATGTGCAACACTTGTTGCATCTTTATTAAAGCTGTTAGCCAACACCATGCAGTCGACATCACTACTAAAATCCTTTTCCACAGAATCTTCAACCATCGGAGGGGCTCTGTGATAGTTCACTCCAGATGTATACGTAACTTTATTCGTTGCATCTGATGAAGTTTTTCGAGAAACGGGCATCTGATGAGGCTTCGAATGTGCGTGTGGTACCCATATCCAGCATTTTATGGCCTATGGTAAGCGGGTATGTGCCCCACATGTGACTGAGGAAAAGGATTTCACCACGTACGCGACAAGAACATTATGCTATACATTTCGTGACCTGCCACTCGAGTTCGTCATTCACTCATGGACTTACTTGATAATTTTGGTTTATTCTAGGTTAAAAAGAAAACTACAGCACTCAGACGTAAGGGATTAGATAATAAAAACACCCAAATCACGTCTGTTCGTAAATTTGAGCGCTTCGAACAAATGCTGTGTATTTAAAACTGCATTGTGAGGAAATTGCCATGTCAGAAGAGCTAAAATAATGTGCACACCGAAAAATGTGTCGGTCTGCTAGTGCCTGCGTATGCGGATCTGTAGAGCACATTTCACATGGCCTGCAAAAATAGAATTTTCACCGTCTCCCTCTTTGATCGGTCTCAGAGATAACAGCAAGTGTTTAATCTTCTGCTAAAGTAAATGTATTGGGCAGCATTTCTGAGACAATTACACTGTTGTGCTGCACGCCGGCTGCACCCCTCTGCCAACCTTCACTCCCCAACGCGCTGGGGAAAGCGCGCGTTCAGGGCACTAAAAAAACCTTTCTAGCCACTGTACACTTATGGTAGGGAGATGCTACCAAGAACAGACTACAAAGAACTGGGAACACAGAGGCATCGTGATGCGCTCATTCGGTCAATTGTGTCCTGTGTTCTCTGTAGTCCATCCTTCGTAGTGTCCCCCTACATTAAATGCATCGCCAGAACAGGCCCACTGCAGAGCAGTAGGTATGTTTATCCAATCGACCGGCTCCTATGCTTGTGCATTATTCTTGCAAATTTCCCAATGTCATCTGCCCACCTCTGGGTTCCCTGTTGCGCTTCCTTCTGTTGAAATCCATTCTGTTACTCTCTATGAGCAGCAGCCACCTCACCTGTAATTGTGGAAAAAAAAAGACATGCACAAAATCTTGTGTACGAAATTTCTGCAAGAGGGAAAGGAATGGTGGAGCATGATGCACCTGAAAACAATAAAAGGCTGGTGTCGTGTCATCAAATCTGCTTGCGCATTTTTCGTTGCAAAGATTTTTATTGCTCAAGGAAGCATGATACACCTTCCAAAATTATGTACTCTCACTGAATAATTTAATATTGGCTTGTAAACAAATTTTGGTTTTGCTTTCTGAGCACAGAGTTCGACGCTGACATGACTGTGTGGGATGCAAAAAAGCTGTAATGCACGCGGTGGTGCATCGTCTACGCTTGCACACGCTTGCAAGCAGTCGTCCAGATGCCTTCAACCCTTGCCCTTGACATTCTTCCCTGACAGTCTCTAGTGGGGTATATTAGCACATGTTCTTTCAGCATATGCAGAGATGTTTCCAGAGTACCGGATTACTTGATGATGGTATCGACATGTTGAGACCCTTCGTGCAAACACAATTATTTGGACCTTCCATTGTTTTCATCGAGTGGCTGTGGTGAAAAAAATTTATTAAGGGGCAACGTGCTGGTAATAGCATTGCTGCCAAGAATTTGCACCAGCAGGTAAGTAACATACACGAGTTTTCTGCTACAGCAATTCTATGTACTAAACTGCTGCAGAAGGCACTCGCAGCTGTGGAGTAAAAGTGGGGCAGCATGACACTTCTTTGTTGCAACAGCAGTTCTCACCTGATAAGAATATGCATGCTCAGAGGTCCTCCACAACATTTTTCTATAGTTTTGCTTGGAAGTAATTAAAAAATGTTAGACTCGATTCTCACTGAAACGGTAATATTCAAGTCCATCTTGCACCCATAATTTGCTAATTGCATAGCTATAGTAGTTAGTTAATATTACCTAATTAAGCTGAACATGAGAAACAGCACAATTTACTCCATGTGACGGATGGTCGTATCATCATAGAGTGCACCAGCATTTTTTTATACTCTGATTCTGGATAACAGGAGCATATGAAGTCGAGCACTTGAGGGGGCAGACTCATCGAAGGCATTTTTTTTTATTTCTTCGGTCATCTTGATCAAACTGCAGAGGCTGATGCAGTTCTTTCTACTCATTTAAAATATTCAATTTCTTTTTCTGTAAGTCGTCTTGTTCCGGAGATAACTTAAGCTCGTGTCCTATTGTTTGAGGCTTCCATAGAAAAAAAAGTGCTCAACTAAAGGTGATATTTAAGATATGGTAACATAGACAAATGACTTGAGATTGAAAGTGTGCAAAAGTTTTTTTTTTGTTTCTTTTGCCTTTCTTGGTTATTTTAACAACGAAATGAACTTTCCATTTTCAAAAGGAATTGGAATTGTCACAATTTTGATAAGTAATTGATTTGAAAGGCTTGTGTTATAAATTCTGCTCCCATACTTGTTTCCTATACACGTACAGGTTTCCATTGCAAAAAGAATTATTGTTGTAAGTGTGCCTAGTTGCAGAGATATTGAGGCCTCAAAATTGAACATTCGTAAATTTACTTTTTTTTTTTAGAAAAATAGAAAAAAATGATACTAACACACAGTTTCTTCATAAGACAACTATCACAGTGTCATCGTTTTGCATTGCTCAAAAATCACTCATAAATTGGTAGCAAAGCTTTGAACACAGGGGCTGGCAAATTATAGAAAAGCCTTGAAGTAGGCTAGCCATATTTTGTGGGTTTGGTAGCACCAAGAATCGGCACACTCAGACTGACATTAAAAGAAAATTACCACTTCCTAGTGTGGGAAAATTTGCAGAGATAGAAAAGTACTTGCAGAAACCAACGATATCAGTTTTTAAAAATGAATTTTTTGTCACTTTTCGGTCCCAAATACTAATCCGCCCCCTCAAAGCCTCCAATCGGGCTGCATCACGTGTTGATGGGATGATAATAGGTAGGCTTTCTTTTTGTGCCTAGGAAAAACTTCGCTGAGTGTGCAGCAAATAATAAATTTAGAACTGTGTAATTCATGCTAGGAAAGAGTGACTGCATGTCAAATCTGCTTTGCAAAAGTAGATTCACCCTGTTGTAACATGTGGGAGAAGTGAGTAAGTATGCGCACTGTTTTGATGTGAACAAAAGGTGCACTTGCAGTGAAGCAGGCAGGAGACATGATGTTATTTTCCAATGCAGAAAAACACGGCAGACACTGCGCTTCATGTGGCTGTTGCCCAGGAAGACGCCACCTCCCTTCACATCGTGGACTTTCTGGTTCAAAATAGGTAGGCATATATATCCCAATTGCGGAGCTATTGTGTGCTCACTTTTACATTGCTTCTAATCGCGCAAGAAGCGAATGTTAATGAGGTGTTTTCTGATCCTCCTTCAAATATAAACAACATTTGCCGCTTGTTAAGGCTATGCAGTTCAGTGAAACGTGGAAGAAAAGGTTGCCAGAGAAAGCTTAGGACCCAGTATGTTGATTGCATGGAAAATGGTGTTTATCAGACTCCTCTCACATTGGGTAAATTTTATGCATAGGTCAGACAGGTTAATGTGCTAATGATAGGATACGGTCTCGCACATGGTGACCGGTTTTTGAAAAATGTAGCATAGTGAGCAAACACCATGATCGCTTAACTTATGAAATTGTTGAAGTGTATTAAATTGCGCAGCTGGGCGACAACTGTGTCAGCACACTGTCAATAGTACGATTGCCCAAGGAACTGAATTATCTACATGAGAGGTTTTAGTAATCTGTCTCGCTTGTGCTGTAGGCGGCCTGTACTGCATGCTGTCACGTGATATTACGGGATTGTTATCCTCTATATTGACACAAGGCAAACGCAGTATTCAAACTACGGGCGCTAGTTCCTGCGCCCCCAAGAGACCAGCGGCTTGATGATGAAACAAGAAAAGGTCGTGACGGCGCGCGCCTCCTCAGCATGGAATTTCGATGAAAAAGAAGTGGTGAACCGCTCGAGGGCTTCTCGGAGATTGATCCCCTTTTGCTGATAGCCTGTTAGAAAAGCCGCTACATTTTCCTTTACTTTTCGGGCTTAAGTTAACCCCAATAAACAGTTATTCGTACACCATTTGGATTGCACGTAACAATTCTGGTGGAGGTGCTGGGTAATGATCCCAAACCCAGTTGGACTTCGAGGAAGCAGCCCGGAACCACGAGCAGTCGAACCAACTGAACTCACGCCAGTTGATCAGCGCTCCAGCCATCGTCTACATGGTGAGCCGCCGGAATTTACCCTGCCACCAGAGCCCAGAGTGTCTCCAGCTGTCTCCGGTGAGAGTACCCAAATGTCGTCTCCAACTGCTGTCGCACACGTCGTTTCGTCTCCAGTTGCTGCCACGCACATCGTTGTCGATGAGCCACGGACGGCGGACCTTTTTCATGGCGATCCTCATGAAGACGCCGAGGATTGGCTGGAGGGTTTTGAGCGCGTCGCCAATTGCAACGGATGGACCGAAGAATGGAAGCTCCGCCGAGTTTATTTCGCATTGCAGGACAGCGCACCAACGTGGTTCGAAAACCATGAAGGTACCATTCGATCGTGGAGTGATTTCCGACGGGAGCTACTGGCCACATACCCGAGTACAGACTGCAAGGAAAGAGCTGAAGCTGCCTTGCAAGCAAGAAACCAGCGCAACAATGAAAGCGTCGCAATATATGTGGAAGACATGTGCCGGTTATTCCGCTGGTCTGATCAAAATATGAGCGAGGACAAGAAACTTCGGCACCTGATGCGTGGGGTGAAGCAGTAGATTTTTGCTGGTTTGCTCCGATGCCCCCCGCGGAACTTCATTGAATTTTGCACCGAGGCGACAGCGGTTGAAAAGACTCAGCAACAGCGAGCGAGGCACTACAATCGAGATGTTAACGTCGCATACGTAGACGCGGTGTCAGCAGTCTTCGGGAATGGCATCGACGTATTACGAGAGCTCATTCGATCGGCGGTTCGAGAAAAGCTCCAGAAGCTAAACGGCAACCCCTCAACGGTCTCGTCATTAGCGGAAGTTGTTGTGGAGTAGGTGAGACAGGCAGTCCGTGAGCAGCAGCCACAAGCCCAGCCTGTTCAAGCGTCGGTTCCAATGCAGCCCGCAGTCTCGTACGCCGATGTGCTGAGAGGCGCCCCTGTGCTTCATTTTGTCGCCCCTGGACCTTATTTCGCCGCAGCAAGCACGCATCTGCCAAAACCTCGATTTACGCCGTCCCCAGCCGAGGCTAGGATTCGAAAAGCTGATATATGGCGCACTCCTGATCGAATTCCGCTTTGTTATCACTGCGGCGAAGCTAGCCATCTTTACCGGATGTGTGAATATCGCCGAGCTGGACTTCGGGGTTTTCCCGTAAACGCTGCCTGCCCACGGAATAGGGAGCGACCTTTTGAAATTGAGGAGTACTTGTCAACGCGTCAAGGTACTCACTCCTTGCAGCAGCATCAGTCTCGGTCGACAGCGCCACTGAGGTATCGGTCACCAAGTCCGCGCCCATCTTCAAACTCTCCGAGGCGACTTCCCCAAAGCCCGCTTCGGGAAAACTAGAATCGGCGACCTGGGGAGGTAAGGCCCCTGCCGACGCAAGAAAACAACCTCCATTGCCGATTTCAACATGTGATGATGGACACGATACTACGTGCGGAAACGGTAAGGTCGCTTCTGATTTGTCGGTAATTATAGATTGCTACGAAACGAATGCTTTGGTAGACACAGGTGCAGACATTTCCGTCATGAGCAGGGGACTTGCCAGAACGCTGAAAAAAGTGCTGACCCCTTGGATAGGACCACAAGTGCGAACTGCCGGGGGACACCTTATCGATCCGGCAGGCATGTGTACCTCTAGAGTCGGGATACGCGGCTTCACCTACGTCGCCAGCTTCATTGTTCTGTCGGAGTGTTCAAGAGATGCAATTATCGGAATATACTTTTTGCAGGCCAATGGCGCAGTGATAAACTTGCAGGAAACGTGCGTCTTGTTTTTAACGAAACACGCCATCGCGACATTCGAGAGTAAAAAACGATTCGATGCGCTCCAGATTGCAGGTGATCATGTAACAGTACCTGCAAGATCCATCATCGTTGTCCCCGTAAAAAGCAATGTGTACAACGACTATGAAGGAACTGCAGAAAGCAATACTGGGCTATTGCTCGAGAAAGGGATCTGTGCAGCAAGAGGTATTGTACGACTGCGTGATGGGTGTATGAGTGTCTTCCTGACAAATTTCCGAAATGAGGTGCAGCATCTTGCGAAAGGAACTGTTGTTGGTCACTTGCACGGTTACGTTCCAATTACGGATTTGAATTCTTCCGATACTGCACCACTACACCCTGACGGTATAGATTCCATACTCGCATCTATCCACATCGAAGCAGTGCTATCACCGAAGCAGAAACAAAAAATCGAGAGCCTTATACGGGAGTACACCTTATGTTTTTCCACGTCATCGAAAGTGCAAAGAACATCTATCGCCAAACACCGCATCATAATCGATCAATCTGTTAGACCTATTTGCCAACACCCATACCTAGTGTCACCAAAAGAGAGAGAAGTCATCAGAGGCCAAGTTGAAGAAATGCTCAGGGACGACGTAATTCAATCGTCGGCCAGCCCATGGGCCTCACCTGTTGTACTGGTAAAGAAAAAGGACCAGACCTCGCGCTTCTGCGTTGACTACCGAAAATTGAACGTCGTCACAAAGCGGTATGTCTATCCCCTTCCAAGGATCGATGATACCCTTGACAGACTACGAGACGCGAAATTCTTCTCCTCTCTAGACCTCAAGAGCGGATACTGGCAGATAGAGGTGGACGAAAGAGATCGCGAGAAAACTGCTTTCATGACCCGAGATGGGTTATACGAGTTCAAGGTACTCCCATTTGGCCTGTGTTCCGCACCTGCCACATTTCAGCGGATGATGGATACTGTGCTGTCCCGGTTAAAATGGCAGTCCTGCCTTGTTTATCTCGATGACGTCGTGATCTTTTCGGCCACCTTCGATCAGCATGTGGAACGACTACGGACTGTGCTCAAAGCGATTAGTTCAGCAGGGCTGACGATAAAACCCCAAAAGTGCCATTTTGGTTTTCATGAACTGCTTTTCCTCGGTCATGTAGTTAGCTCTGAAGGCATTTGAACTGATCCCGAAAAAACAGCAGCTTTAGAAAAGTTTTCTAGACCGACGCATAAAAGGACTGTGAGACGATTCTTAGGACTTTGTGCCTATTACAGAAGATTCATCAAAGATTTTTCGAAGATTGCGGAACCACTAACCCGACTGACGAAAGAAGACACACCTTTCACCTGGACAAGCGAGCAAGAAGACGCGTTCAATGAGCCACGACAGCGACTCCTAAACCACCCCGTCCTGGCACATTTTCACTAAGAAGCCGAAGCAGAGATTCACACGGACGCAAGCAATTTGGGACTAGGCGCCGTCCTTGTGCAGTTGCAAAACGGAGAAGAAAGGCTGGTCGCATATGCTAGTCGCACTCTTTTGAGAGCTGAAATAAATTATTCGGCGACAGAAAAAGAATGTCTGGCGGTAATGTGGGCCATACAGAAATTCCGACCATACTTATATGGTAGACCATTTCGAGCAGTGAGCGACCATCACTCGCTGTGCTGGCTCGCAGGCGTAAAGGATCCTTCTGGGCGACTTGCTGGATGGAGCCTCAGGTTGCAAGAATACGACATAACAGTCGTCTACAAGTCGGGTTGCAAGCACAGCGATGCTGATTGCCTGTCACGCGCACCAATGGAATCTGCACCTGTAGAAGATGGAGACGACTTTCCGTTTCTTGGGGCCGTCAGCAACGCAGACATGACTGAATATCAACGATCTGACGCGGAGTTGCTTAAACTGATCAAGCATCTGGAAGGGCAACCCGTGCGTGTTCCTCGAGTTTCCGTCCAGGGATTGTCCTCGTACCTGATGAGAAACAATGTTTTATACAAGAGAAACTTCGAGCACAGCAGGGAGAAATTCCTACTCGTCGTTCCTTCGGCCTTGCGACCCGAAATCCTGGAAGCCTGCCACGATGACCTAGCAGCAGGACACCTCGGAGTGATTAGAACATTGGCTCGCATCCGCACCAAGTACTACTGGCCAAAGTTTCTGGATGCTGTACAACATTATGTAAGGACATGTAGAGATTGCCAGTGACGCAAAACGCCTCCATTGAAACCTGCAGGATTTCTCCAACTAATTGAACCACCTGAATCTCCGTCTGAACAAGTAGGAATGGATCTACTTGGTCCATTTCCTACGTC